AAAAAAAAAAAAAAAAAAAAAAAAAAAAACACCGCAAAAATGTGTTATTGTGTGATGATGAAGACAATTGATCCCAAACATTTTAGAAAAAATGGAGCCGAACTTTAATAAAATGTGTTGAGAATGGTGCTGCTTCTATTTGATTTGTTTAGAGTCATTTAGGGGATGGGGCATTTATTCAGAGGAAAAAATAAACACTCGGAAAGCGTTTATTCAAAATGAGGCTCTAGATGGGAGTTTCAGGGGTGGAGCCAGCGCCCCCCCCCCTCCGTGCCGGGGAGAGCTCCCCCTCCCCCGTCGGGGAGAAAAACCACAATTCGTCGGGGAGAAATAAAATGTATGTCTTTTCTACATATTAGTAGACTCTAAAATCGATTAAATAAATCTTTGAAGCCCCTTAACTGTCATATTTTAGGGTGCTTCGTGCCCTGGAACACTTTCGGGAGATTTTGAGCGACGCCCGACAATGCCCACTTTTTTGGTCGGGCACATCGCACCCACGTCATACTCCCCGTCGGGAAAATCCTGGCGCCACCCCTGGAGAGTTTATTCGAGAGAGGCGTTTCTTTGAATAAATATACATTCCAGAAAAAAATACTCATCAGCATGACGAAGAAACTTCTAATTCATATCTTTATTAATATTGCAACTATATTTACAACACGTTAGTAAAATTCTGAGTACCAATAACCAATTCAGTTGTATATAGACATCGTAAAACTTCTCAGATTGAAACCCAGTACTCTGTTTATGACCCACCTTAACAGTTATTTTACCTGAGAAAACTATTGTTGTTCGAGGTCCAACTACTGTACTTTTAACACAGTAACTAATTGGGTTTGCTAGTAATGAGGCTGTCCCTCTGAATCCGCCACTGTCTATGCGATTACGTTTTATTCGTATATAAAATTTACTAATACAGGATGCCTAAATAGCAACCGAGTATAATTTAATAAAAAAAAAAACTCCTGTCCATGCCTTTATTGTAAACCACACTAACAGCAGTTTAGATCAGAGGTTTCGGTATTTTATAAAAGTAGGCCAATTTAAAAGCCTATAATTATTCTTTAATAGCGTTGTCGAAAAAGACAACGAGTACGTTTTTAATATGACCTATATCAAACAAATAGGTCCTAAACGTGTTTAAAAAGATAAGGATTTAAAATTGCAACGTGTGACATATACACATAGCCTTAACAGTCGAATTCTCCGATGTACAACACTCCAAACTACAACATATTCTTACAACTTGAACTAGAACCATAGTGATGTGATGGTATCGATTTTAAGATCTTGTACTGTAGCTTGGGGCATGACTACCTACTTTTATTTTCACCATTATTTTACAATCAAATTTCAAAGAACATTTGGCGATAAAATAAATGGTGTTTACCATAACAGTTATCAAACCTTCGCCAGCCATTGATTTAACAATTCTAATTTACTACCAATTATATTAAATAAATAAAAAAATAAAAAATTAATTTTTACAACCGCTAGTTGGTCCCAAGTTGCATGTAAATTAGAAGTTTGACTATTTGACTGTATACCAACAAATGTTATGCAAAATTGTATTTATTAACTCTTGTATGGATACAAATAATTTTGCAAAAAATCAGCGACTTCTTTCAGACACAAATAGTACTGGACACATGCTGGATGTATAGCCATGTAAACACTTGCGTTGTACGACCTTCGACCGACGAATCGAATCTCCGCTCTCTGTGAGCACTTAACATGCCATGCCGCCCGCTGATTTTCGATAGCAGACGAAGCGGATCATTGATATAGTTTTATGGCACAGAACTGCAACATTATTATAAAGTTTATCCATAAAGATATTACTATAATACCTACATGGTTTATTTTATATTATCAGCAACACTTAAAACATGTGGACCCAATGACCAGTGAAAACAACTGCGCTTCATAACCTCAAGGAAGAGGCGCATTCTAAATGCCTATACCAGTACCAGTGCGGGGATTTTCTTATTTGAATTTTTACTTGCAAGTTTAGATTACTTACAATTTTCAAAAATTAAGCAAATTCAAATATGAAATTGAATTTAATTACTTTTAGCTCAATACAGGCAGTAGGATATATCTTTAACTTTACTTAAAAAAATAAGCTGTTATTTTCATAATAAAAGTAGAGCACAACCTTTTATTTTCATAATAAATGTATATAGGCCTAGGTCTCTTTAAATTGTGTCTTTAAAGTATGCATCCTACGTCGGACGGACATCGATATCCTTCGTCGGTTGGGAATCGATATCTTTCGTCGGTCGGGTATCGATATCCTACTTTTAACTTTCCCTACTACTGATTTTGACTTATTATATATTCTCCTAGATATATTTCCATATTGCTTTACTCGTATTAATTTCGTCATGTCTGGGTCAGACTTCATCATTAATAGACAACTCTTATCTGCCTTTGGATGAAGCACTAAAAATGATTCGCGATGAGCAGAGTTATCTTTGGTAGCATTTTCAATTGTACAGTTTTTACGCGTTTCTTCAAGTCTATACTCGAAATATTTTAAATCCTCTTGAAACGTAGGCCCATATTCTTTAACTCGTTCCCAGAATGTTTTGTTGAAATGAGCATAAAGTTTCGCATCTGCCCAGCTCCACTTGTTGATTGATTCACGCAATGCACCCGAAAGTGTATAACGTCGCTTAGAACTTCGAACTCCTTTAGGTATGTACAATATATCTTCAAAGCTAAAGCACAACAATTTCTTTAAAAGTAATAAAGATTCATTATAATATTCTTGGATAAGAACAAGATCGAATTCGCTAGCAATACGTTTAATAGCCTTATCAACAAGCACTGTATTTTCCTGATCTCTGGTCTCAAGACCAAGATCATAAAGATTTGGGTTTTTGAGGTGATTTCGCATTGCAAAGGATGGGTATCTATCCCAGTAATACTGTGGTCTAGATATAAATGTCTTAAAAGCATTTTCTTCTGGAAGTCTAAAACCTTTGAATAATAGAAAGTACCCGAAGACAGATTCGATCTGGGTCCTAGGGTCCCTAATGATGGTGAAGTATTTGGCGTTCGGCTTCATCACTTTCTGCATTTCAGACTTTTTGAATCTCACGTGGTTTACCAGCATGTCGAATTTTCCAGGGTAAACTTGGGATGGATTAAAATAGCCGGAACTGATAATATGCAAATTGCGTTTTGGTATTGCGATTGATAAATTTCTTTTGTATCCGTACCTTTCAAGGGTAGTGGTAAGTGTCGAACTACCTGTCTTGTGCGTCTTCAAGAACACAACAGTTTCATGTGGTTTACAATTTGGCTGAACATCTGCATGGTTAACACTCACTTTATTAATTGTTGCAGGTTTGGTAATTATAGAATTGCCAGTTGAAGTAACGTCTGCATGATTGATATATACGGACCCGGCAATCGTAGAATTAACATCAAACCATCTAGGTTGTGGTACTTTAGGATAATGTAGGCCTTTTACAGCGGTAGCTGTATCTGCTTCTGTATTATTCAGAGAAGGAATCACTTGAGAAGTGTTGCCTGTCAATCGAACAGTCAAATAATTTGCGTATCTGTTGAAATATAAAAGAAATACAAGAAAGTCAAAGATACCTGAAGTTACCAGGAATAGTGCCTAATATTTATAAAGTAATATAAATAATATAATTGATATAAAATATTGATAATTGTAGACCAACAAGGTTTTATTACAACAATAACGAAAATGATAACGATTGGATTAATAATATTATTATTAATTAATAACAATAAGAGATGATAATGATTTGATGATGATTTAAAATTGAATAATATTATTATTATTATTATTATTCATAATAATAATAATAATAATAATAATAATAATAATAATAATAATAATAATAATAATAATAATAATAATAATAGATGATGATTATTTGATGATGATTCAAAATTGGTTATACTGTAATATTTAATCACGGGCACTTTTTAAAGTTTCGTTACTTTATCCATGCTGGGCCTTGCTCAATTTATGAAGCCAGCATGACTCACTGGCGAAAGCTTGTGTAATAAATAAATGAAGTTAGTCTTTAAAGAGCTACCAGTGTTTTTATACTTTATTACTGTATGTTGTAACTCATACTTAGGTCAATTTAAATATTATAAAGAGCTTTATGTCTCGTTGACTGATTACGTATCAAAAACCTCTAAAGGCGACAATTTCACGTGTTTGGTTGTGTTCCTAAATAGAGGAAACTCCTATTGTTACAGTATCAAGAAAGGGACACATCTTTGTCAATCAATCGATCTCTTATTTCGCAAGCGCTTTGGGACGATCTATTGATTGTGTATTTAATAAGCGCTATACAAATACAACTACATTGCACCATACAGACGTTACATTTACATTACATTACATATTCCCTTAATTAGGGGGTTGAGGGTACATTCGACCGACAAAGTATATTTACGGTAATTTAAACTATGTGTGAATTAGGCCTATTCCATGCTCCCCGGAATCTTCAGAGTTGTATTGTAATTAATAATTTATTGGCTCTCTCTTTCAAAGCAGAGGAACACTCTCACGCAGGAGAGGTTCGACCATACAACAGAACAAAAGTTGAAGATAAAATCCATAAAAATAAGATATAATATTAATGAAAAATCCAGATGCAATTAAAATAATATTATTCTAAAAATTTAAAATCTTAACTGAAAATAAAGTAAATAAAATAATAGATAGATAAATAAATAAAAACAAGCACATAATATAATAAATGCAATGTGAAGTGGATGTAAAAACATACATATCAAATACACAACAAAAGTACAGTTAATGTCTTTTCATAAAATAATGTAAAGGAAGAAGAAAAAAAAAACAACTTATAAACTATTAACATTATTAGCAGGGTCATTTAAAACATGTGTTCGTTTTTGCCATGCATCTTTTAGATATTCTTTAATGCATGTAGGCCTATCAAAAATGAAACCAAAAGTGGAATTTGTTCAGAAAAGATCATCAAGCAAGTAATGGAATAGTGCCTAATATTTATAAAGTAATATAAATAATATAATTGATATAAAATATTGATAATTGTAGACCAACAAGGTTTTATTACAACAATAACGAAAATGATAACAACGATTGGATTAATAATATTATTATTAATTAATAACAATAAGAGATGATAATGATTTGATGATGATTTAAAATTGAATAATAATATTATTATTAATAATAATAATAATAATAATAATAATAATATTAATAATATTAATAATAATAATAATAATAATAATAATAATAATAATAATAATAATAATAATAATAATAATAATAATAATAATAATAATAATAATAATAATAATTGATGATGATTCAAAATTGGTTATACTGTAATATTTAATAACGGGCACTTTTTAAAGTTTCGTTACTTTATCCATGCTGGGCCTTGCTCAATTTATGAAGCCAGCATGAATCACTGGCGAAAGCTTGTGTAATAAATAAATGAAGTTAGTCTTTAAAGAGCTACCAGTGTTTTTATACTTTATTATTGTATGTTGTAACTCAAACTTAGGTCAATTTAAATATTATAAAGAGCTTTATGTCTCGTTGACTGATTACGTATCAAAAAACTCTAAAGGCGACAATTTCACGTGTTTGGTTGTGTTCCTAAATAGAGGAAACTCCTGTTGTTACAGTATCAAGAAAGGGACACATCTTTGTCAATCAATCGATCTCTTATTTCGTAAGCGCTTTGGGACGATCTATTGATTGTGTATTTAATAGGCGCTATACAAATACAACTACATTGCACCATACAGTACGTTACATTTACATTACATTACATATTCCCTTAATTAGGGGGTTGAGGGTACATTCGACCGACAAAGTATATTTACGGTAATTTAAACTATGTGTGAATTAGGCCTATTCCATGCTCCCCAGAATTTTCAGAGTTGTATTGTAATTAATAATTTATTGGCTCTCTCTTTCAAAGCAGAGGAACACTCTCACGCAGGAGAGGTTCGACCATACAACAGAACAAAAGTTGAAGATAAAATCCATAAAAATAAGAGATAATATTAATGAAAAATCCAGATGCAATTAAAATAATATTATTCTAAAAATTTAAAATCTTAACTAAAAATAAAGTAAATAAAAATAGACAGATAAATAAATAAAAACAAGCACATAATATAATAAATGCAATGTGAAGTGGATGTAAAAACATTCATATCAAATACACAACAAAAGTACAGCTTTTCATAAAATCATGTAAAGGAAGAAGAAAAAAAACAACTTATAAACTATTAACATTATTAGCATGGGTCGTTTTTCCCATGCATCTTTTAGATATTCTTTAATACATGTAGGCCTATAAAAAATGAAACCAAAAGTAGAATTTGTTCAGAAAAGATCATCAAGCAAGTAATGAATTTTTAGATCTGGTGAACCATTGGAGAAATTATCCCAATATTCATGTAAATTATTTTTAAATAGAGCAATTTTAATTTCATGGAAGGTCTTAGTCCTAATATTATAAAATTGTGGGCATTCTAATAGAAAGTGCTCTATATTTTCCGCAGAGTTTACAGTTACATAATTTGCAAAAACCTGTGCATCCATCATACCAAGTACTTTCCCTACCTTCTAAAGCTAAACAATTAGACCTCGCTTTAAACTTCAGACTGATTCCTTTGAAGTTAGTTTTATCACATAGATGTGTTTCATAAAAGGGTTTGTTTTTATATCTGAGATATTCATTTAAATTTGATTTCTTACAAGCGCTTTCAAACCATTCATTATCATCATTTATACAATTTATGAGTTTAAAATCAGATGAAAGGTTTATTGACTGATTTACACAAAATTCATGGTTTAAGTCATGCTTCGAAAGAAGCTGCTTAATGAAGTTTAACCATTTCCATTTCATTTTATGTTCATTATGCAAAATTGCTTTCAAGAGTAAATCGAGGCCACCTGTAATCGTCTAAATTTTTCAACCTGTTGCAATATTTATTAGTCGGATAACTAGGCGAACCATGCAACTCAGCACGACCATTCTTTAGTATACCTCCATGGCACAACAATAGCGTATCGATTATCAGTTGACCACTGGACATCCCAAGGTTTTCAATTCATGCAAAGCCGTCAGCTGACGCAATGTATCGTAATTAACACCATTCATGAGAATACAATATGAGTTTACACCCTAGGATACTAGGGTGTACATATATGTATATGTGTACATATGTATATGTGTACATATATGTATATGTGTACTGTATGTATATGTGTATTTATATGTGTGTATGTATGTAGGTGTGTGTATGTGTGTGTGTGTATGTATGTATATATGTGTATGTATGTGTGTATGTATGTATGTATATATATATATATATGTATATATGTGTATGTATGTGAATGTGTGTGTATGTATATTTATATGAGTGTATATATGTATATATATGTATGTATATATATGTATATATATATGCACACATATTTGGGTTGGGTACTGTATGCACGTAATGTGTATTATGTACATTATTTGTGTGGGGAGGGTGAGGGATGTTCATGATTTATTTTAGATCTAAGTTGTATTTTCTTTAGTTAAGTTCTTTCATTTGTTTAGCTTTAAGTTGTTCTTTTACTCTTTGTTCATAAGTTCTTTCATTTGTTTAGCTTTAAGTTGTTGTTTTTACTATTTGTTCATTAGTTTAAGTTTGACTGCGCCACTTTCTTGTGTGCTGCCACTGATGTAAAAGTGTAATGTCAATAAATATTATTATTATTATTATACTACTGTATTGTTATTGTAGGACCATTTACTCAAAAAATCAACGTTTATCCCGGTATCGACTTTTGATGTTAAACTGGTCGTGTTTAATCGGAGTTATACCTCCTGCAAAAAAAAATCTTCAGAACACATGGATTAAGCTACAGCATGTTCAAGCGCCATGATGCCTACAAGAGGCAGTTCCGTGTAGATTATGCAAGATACCAGAGAACTTTTTTTAAACCAAACATAAAACAACACATAAATAACATGTAGAGAAAACATCTACCGGTACCTCAGTAATCTATCATAATAGTTTAACGTAATCTCTCCGTTGTTTGTGTTTGTTTGCACATAATGACGATATATATATATACTGTCTCTTATTGTTGATTTCTTTTATTTACACGTTTTAATGTCAGAATCGCATCACTAATTATCACTACCATAATTTCACGTAACACGCAATACTGACGTTACGATTTGAAATTTAAATCTTCATGTTTTCAGGCTGATAGGCTCGGTTATCGTTCATTTTCATTTAACAATGTGAAAATACAACTTATATTTCTACAGGTTACTCGGACTGGATGTCAAAATATCAACTGGAGTCAGATCGGCAGATTTTATGCATTACTGATTTTAGACATTTCAATACAAGGGCCTGTTGGTGGTATTGCTATTTTAGGTACCATCACCGTATGAGTGTGTTTCAATCGGTTTAAAGGTGTTCCATGTAGTATAACACCATTTTTCTTCTGAATATTTCCACTGTATCGTTCTCTTCCTACCGAATGTGTACTTATTTCTTTTCTGATATGATTTATTGGATCATCACAACAGTGGCGCACACAATGTGGTGCGTACATGTACCGGTGCATCATCAATTGAAAAGTCTTAACATAATGCATAAATTAAATGTAAAGTACCAGTACATACCAGGGAACAGTGAAATTAGTAGTAATTTCACTGTTCCCTGGTACATAAATACCGTATTTATTTATTTTTTTAAAAACGCCCCGGGGGCGTATATTGTTGAGAAGGGTTTCTGAGGGGACGCTTATTTGAGGAAGGCGTTTGTATTTTTTGATGTAAAATGGATACGTACTATACTGAATAATAAGCCACTTATTTTCACTGTAATGTGGTGGAACTACAATACATAATACAGTCAAAATGTGTTATTGCGTCATCACTGATCAAAACCAGGTTAGACAAAAATGTAATTCTACTGGTGTAGAACATGTGTTAAGAATGATTTTGCTTCCCTTAGTTTCGTTCACAGTATTTAGATGGACGTTTATTAGAGAAAACGCCCAGGGGAGTTTATTCGAATAGGTCTACTATTGATACAGGAAAAAGCTATAACTGATTTAATTATTATATCAACATTTTATTAATAAACTATTACTATATAGAGTTAAAACAAAGTACTAATAATATAAAGCAATATTATTAATAGCAGAGTAAGGGTATTATGATAAAAATTAAAAATGTCAAAATTATTGTAGATCTTTAAATCGCTTCATACAACAGTCCAATAACCGAGTTCCTTAAGTAATAGGTGTTAAATGTTTAAAACATAATTCACATAAAAGCACGACAATATAGGTACAGTAATAAATTAAAAATATATAATTTAGTCAGAACGTAGTTAAAATAATCGCTTCATACCACAGTCTAATAACCGGGTTCCTTAAGTAATAGGTGTTAAATGTTTAAAACGTAATTCACTTAAAAGCACGACAATATAGGTAATAAATTAAAAATATATAATTTAGTCAGAACGTAGTTAAAATAATCGCTTCATACAACAGTCTAATAACCGGGTTCCTTAAGTAATAGGTGTTAAATGTTTAAAACGTAATTCACATAAACACGACAATAAGTAATAAATTAAAAATATATAATTTAGTCAGAATGTAGTTAAAATAATAGTTTAAGTTACTGTAATGGAGGTGGTAATGTCCTTCAAATTTCTTTTCTTTCTTTTATACAACATAATGCAATTAACCTTTTACTAATGGTATTAAAGAATTCGCCAAATCTTATAGATAAATTTGAACAAAGTCATCCATTAATAAGTGCCGTTTGAAATATGAAATTCTGAATTTATTATAAATGGGTTCAATCGATCGATTGCCAACCAAGGTCTCAGAAAAGGGCCCAGCTTTTACAACGTGACGTGGCGCTTAAGAGCAATCGGGCCATCAGATACTTGACACCGTACTAACAACTTGATATTGATGTTAATATTGAAGGTTATCAAATATTTCATTGTTCATTTCCACAGATGATGCATACTATAGTTCAATTTTGGAAGACAAATGGATTGCGCATAGACTCTACAGAAATCCTCTTTGTAATCGATAATAGATTTGATTTGAATATATTTGTTTCCAATGAGCAACGCTCGGTACCCATGCAGGGGAGGCGTAATCCAATAGGAGTTGAATGAGTGAGGAACAGTAGCCGTCGTCTATCTTAATCTAACATGTAAGCATTCCTACAGAAAAAGCGAATTCTACTATTTACTTTAGAGACAATTTTCATGGCTATGTCATCTAAAGATAAATTTTAATTAAGATATACACCTAATTACAACACTTTTGTTTCTAATTTCTTCATCATCACATCTGACAAATATAGGCCTAGTTATTTCCCTGATTAAATTTTCCCTGAGAACCAAATAAAATGATCTCGGTTTGGTGACTACTGTCCCCTCAGGGGTCAGTAGACACTTTGCTATCGTCTGGCAATTGACGGTGTAAGAGTAAAACCCGGAAATAGCAAAGTCATAATTTAAAAAAAATTGAATGTTCTTCACTTTAGGGGTTTAACTTTTTTTTTTTTTTTTTGCCTCAAGTAATTAGGGCCGACTTTACACGTATACCACTGTGACGTATACCACTGTGACAGTTTTGCCGACTCCAGCCACACATTCTATATTTAGGCCTATTGTTATTGTATTTTTATACAATTATGAATTTTCAAAATTAATAAAAGTACGAGAAAAAGTGATCCGGTCATAGCTGGTTTGGCCGGTGCGGTTCCGATGGCCCTGTAGTCGGTGTATCTATGGTGTATCTTAATGTCTTTCATTGTTATTTTGAAGGAGTCATTTTAACTCCAAAGGAGTTATTCTGTACCTAAAAAAAGGTACAGAATAACTCCTTTCGAGTTAAAATAACTCCTTCAAAATAACAGTGTTAAAGGCACCTGATCGTAGCCAGAGACAGAGCCTTAGTGTGGGGTCTTAGGCGAAACTCTTAATGATCATCACGGCGACCATCACCCCTCAGGATCCGCCACGGGATTATCATAATAATTGTTAGAGTCATCATGTGAAGCCCAGTCGGCCTAATATCTGCAGTATTGCCATCCGGCCTATACAACATAATATACTATAAAGCATAATATTGAATACTGTTACGTCTTTAACTACAATTTCAGAAAGACCTTTGCAAATGACAGAAAAATTACCATTTAAATAAAGAACTTTGAGCCAATAATTGTGTTTAAAATATAATGTTGAAAAAAAAAACAGAAAAAAGACAAAAGTCCGTGTAAGACACTGTCGTAAAGAACGTAGTAAAAATTGCATTATGCAGTACATGCTAAAATGTTGTGATGATTCCTTACTCGTCACCTATTTACTTATTGATAATATGGTCACTTTTAAGTGAACAACAATTTGAATATGGATTTACTGTATATCAGCCGCACTTACTAACCTACGGAAAAATTATTTTGCTCCTTCCACTGTAGGCCTACCATGGTAATAATAAGGTATTACCATGGTAGACCTACAGTGGACGGCCTACCATGCATGGTAATACTAATGTAATTTGAATAATGAATACTGTAAAATTATTTTTTAACGATATATATAACCCAAAAAATGCCAATAGTGGTAAGATATACCCTAAAAGAATGACGATCGTCTATTCCTTCCAGATTTGTGCATGTGTCTGACGGTAAATCGTCACAAACTTTTGCTCCCATATGATCTATAATTAATAATATATGCAATAGGTATTTTTATACCGCCTTGGTATGGTACGTGATACTACATACTTCTATTTCAAAAAGTATTGCCAGTACATGTACCAAGGATGCATTCTTTAACTTACGAAAGGAAATAAAGATGACAAATACTCACCTCATGGTTCTGTAGTTCTCCGAAGCCACGTCCAAGTAAACACAGTACATAACAATCCCTGAACACAAAAGTAGAAATGGCCATTTGATCTTCATGCCTTTGAATAAAACATTATTGCAAACAGTCATATTGAAGATCGTTAATAGCGTTTAGTGCATTTGGCAAACACGGACAGTGGTGACCAGGCGCACGGTGCTACATTATAACCTGCTGCAGGTCACATAATAATCAAGGCGATTCTATTGTTGAATTCAATTCGGGGCATGGGCGTCACAGCACACAGATCATTTGATTCCTATTCATTTACATCAGCAACAATACCCAGCTTTACGGTTGACAAACTCTGTTGGTCGACCCATTCTATTTAACAAATTGTAACGGAGACTTCCATAAATGATGCACATTCGAAATCATAAAATTAAACTAGCTTGAATTTCAATCCACAAGGTTATATAAACAAGACGGACTCCACATGAACCACACCAACATGTTTAGCCTACATTTTTGTGACATGTGGACTTGATCTTTGATGGTAGAATAATAATTATTTTGACTATTACAGAGGCATCAAATAAATTCACAAAAAGACTGAAATTAAGGTTCTGGTGATAAATTAATTTTATTGAGTAAAGTGAAATCATGCTGCACAACGAACGCACATAAAATTGTGAAGCGAACAAGAAGGTACCCAGACATCACAATGGGATGCCCTGAATAAGGCCAAAGGCGGGTCGCATGTATTGACCTTTGATGATAGAATAATTATTATACCAGTAGAACCTTCGGGCCCAAAAAAGAGTCTCTTAGTAGCTTCGAACTAAAAATGTGAAACTGTCTCCTGAATAGCGGTTTTGGAACGCGCCATGCAAGACATAGATTCTTATACTGTATTAATTTTATTTCAGTTGACAGCATATATTGCTCCATCTAGGCCTAATTGTGAAATAAGCACAGTGAGCGTAGGCCTATAATCTGAGGCGGATTGTGCGCTATAAATTTTCATATTATTGTTATTAAAACAGACACACATTGATCCTAACCAAACGTAGAAACTATTTTTTTTCACATGACTCTTTTATAAAGGCTATGCCTATATTTTACATAATGCTCACATACTTTACTTTGCGTTCGCTTGAACAATGGGTCGTGGAAGGACCAAGTGTGGAATACTTTTTTTAAAAGGTCCGGCCGTAGCAGGTTATTGATTCTCATTATTTAAAATCGATTTGAAAATATTTAAAATTACTATTTGCAATACAATGCTTTGTTAATTCGCAGTTTTAAATTCCGTCAAGTACTTGAATAGGCATACAATAATTACGGCTGATATTCGAAGATTTTTAGGTAAAATTACAAAGAATCTATTTAAGGGACACCTCCATAAAGGACACTTTTCTCAGATGTACATTGTGTATCGCAAGCATTTATCATTGTGATTATGCTAAACAATACCTTATGTGCACATTGTATGCGGCACTGCATGGTGGCAAAAGGCGAATGGCAACGGGTCAGCTGGTATTACGCCTATACAGTAACTTAACTTAACACTTGATGAAAAAGAAAACATTGTGTATGATGACTGAACTTTAACATTGACGATATCATAATTCATCATCATGGGCGCAGATCATTGGGTGGGGACAGAGGGGTGGGAAATTCCCCCAATTATTTTTAAGGTGGTTCCCCACTTTTCGTCCGCAATGTTATTTCATAAGTCAAGAAGATGCTTGAAAATTGTTGAAATGAAAATTAGCCGAGTCTTATAACACGGTATCTCTGCTCACAAACGTCTGAAAAGTACTAAACAAATACGACTCGATTGTGCGTGTCTTCATTATTTGAGAAGTATGAGAAAGCGTGTAAAGATAAGGCACAAATACATCAGACAATGTTTTTAAGTTGTATTTCCTACGGTACATAACACAGATTAATTAGATTTCTATTATTGCCGAAAATCGCTGATAAAAAAGCCAAACATTTTTTGCTTAAACACCAAAGACAATTTGTTTTAGGTTTATTTTCTAGGTACATCACACATTAATGGTTGCTGATAAATAACGCCTCAAATTTTATTTTCGGGTGTCACACCAAAATTTTGAGATGCCCCCGGACAACATAGGATGGTGTTGTCTCGTCGACGTCGGCCACACTTTCGCCCCCACACACTCCCCTTTGGACATCTCTGGATCCGCCATTATTGAAGTCGAATATACTTTCGAAACACTAGAAATATTTCCTGAATTTGTTTCTTTATTTGTTTTCTCTAACACTTTATTCTCAGTTTTAATGTTACATGATCGGTGTCGGGCCATATAAAACAAGGTGTTTTCTAGCCAATGTTGCTTGGTGGGCCGCACATGGGTTTTTAATTCATTTTCGCGGGCCGCAAAAAAAAAAAAAAAAATCGCTGTCGGGCCGCACTTTCCCCACCTGTGCTACATGATCACAATTGTCAACTTTATTCAGTGTTATTATTTTGGTATCTCATCAACTAATAATTTAGCACCAGTCATAAGGAAGAATAAAATCTTATGTTGCGTTCTCAGTGTACACTTTATAATTTCCCTACAAGTTAAACTTACTGCAGGCCTACCTCTATAAAACTGCTTTCCTATTGTCTCCATCAGAGCATTTGTATGTTGACCGTTCCGTTGAATATAATATGTTAAAGATAATGTTGATCACTATTTGCCTGCTGATGTTCAACAGACCAACTCCAACGTAACCAAGTTTATTTAATTCCAAGCCACACTGAACAATTGGTAGGCCACTATACATACAATAGACGAGGAAGGTCATAGAAAAAAAATCGATCGATGGACATTATGTTAATAACGAATAAAGTAACAAGTAATTCTTTACGTGCACCTGTTAATGCCGGCTTCTGGAGGAAAATAATTTTTTTCTGATATTTTGTACAACTGATTTTTATAAGACACAAAACGACGTTAAAGGAATGTTAAGATTTCGAGTACAGTAATACAGTTTTGCAAATTTAGAATCAACAAAATCACAACCAAATAAAAATAATTTACTTATTTAGCGTCACCATCCCTACCTGAATTTTCGGGAATTTTTTTGAAATAAAAAAATATTAATATTTTCCAGGAAATTCTAATCAAAATAAGTATAGGCCTATTTTAAATTAATTAAAATAATGATTTTAACAACCAGGTGCAATATATTTATTGTAGGCCTATTGAAAATGATTAACTTTTTTGTTTTCTGTATGAAATTAAAAATGGAACAATTTCTTTGTCTTTACTTACTTTGTTCATGATGTTGAAAAGATGGGATTAATGCTGTGGAAATGTGAGAGTGTAAGCCTATGCAATCACAGTTGTGTCTATAGCATGGCACTGCTAAAGTAGTATCTAATCCAACAAGGATTCAGAGCTTAATGATACTGTAGATTGATTTAAACAAAAACCACCCCTCCCCACCTAAATTTTTTTGAGATGTGACTCGCTAAACAAGTACAAAGAAAAACTTAATCGGGCAATGTGATTGCAGTTTACAAATTTACTGATTATCAAAATGGGATGGTATAAAGTTAATTTTGACAGGAGTTATAATATTAATCACAATTTAATTGAAAGATTGTCATTAAAAAATACCGTTATCAACAGGTGGTAGCCTAAAACATAAGAGCAGCTTTGCTCATTCGGATAATCTAGTGGTAGCTACTGTGTGTGCGCTGAACCGAGAAGATCTCTAGGCCCCCGGTTCAATTCCCATCGATGCCTCTCCTTGTGTTTCAGATGGAGGACTGAAATATAAGTTACAAAGCGCACCGTCTTTAGGATTAGACGTTTAAGTCGTTGGTCCCGTGAGCATTTAAGAACGCAGTACACTCTTCGGAAAAGAGTAGGGGATTGTCTCCCGGTGTACTGACCAATTCCCACCAGAAGGACCCCACTGGAAATAAGTCTTCTTCTAGACTTTCGTGGGCAATCATTGGTGTACACCGAATAAATCCAATCCAATCCTAAGATAATAATAGGGCCTATAAGAAACGCATAATCCACGAAATTTCTCAACTACACGTGAGAAATATCCGTGATAAGTAAAAATTATGTTTCGTTACAAAGTATAATGGTAGAGTTTTGAGGCATTATCTCTCATGATAATACATTATTTAGAAAATACATCTGTGACCTTTCTCATGGATGTCCATTTTATACTTCCATCATCTGAAAGAACTAAACCAGATGTCCATATTGTTTCAGATGTTATCTTCATTAAACATGCCGCGATGGTATGATTATAATCTTTTGTTGTTCATTTTCATTAAATCAACGTCGAATTTAATTATATGAGTTTGTCACGGTATATACCGTATGTAGCATTATTTATTTCTTTATCTGATGAAATATGGTATTACTACTAACCAAAACAGACGGTCAGTTTCCCTCATTATTATTGAAAACAATCTTGCCTGATGCTTACCACAAAATATGAATTCAACTTGGGGCCTATAAAGCAGGACATTCACTGCGTCGTACGAAGGTCGTACAACTTCGGTCGACGAATCTATAACTCCGCTCCCCTACGTCGTCTGCTGATTGTCGATGGGAGTCTAATTGACTTTAAAAACGATCATTTGCGCGCGCGTCGTGGCGTTGTGTTTTTCACAGAATAGCTTCTGCCGACGACCGTCGGGCGCAGGGTTCATAAAAAACCGATTTTTTCGTGGCAACATATTTAATGATACACTTTGGTAAAGTTTGTTGAACCATTAGACATAGACATGATATTAATTAATCCACATACATGGAAATTACATTGCTCGTTATGGCTACCTCGAAAACCTCTCATTAAAGTTAATTCCTCTAGGGATAAACGATTGAGGGTGACGATTTGTGTTGGAAACCTGTACCCTCAAACTGTCACTTCGTTCTATAGTGCCGATCATCGGCGGAGAGAAGGAATGACACACGTCATTCCACATCTCTTCAAACTTGATCGTCAGTCGTTCATAGTAGACAGAGTGTACCAATCGCGAAGACGAACGGGTCATCCTCTCAGATTTATGAATAAACTTTTGAAGCATTTCCCAGTTTCCCTCCAAAATGTTACCACCCCCAGATTTAAAAGACATTATTTCTGAACCCCCATGACGACAAACTTTAAAAATGATCTAAAAATAGTCCCACTGATACTCAAATAATTCAACTTCTTAAACAGAATATTCTAAAAATGTATTTCTTTATGATCCATATTAAACTATTCCATGTAAGCCTATCAAAAATAATCCCCAAATATTTAAATTGTTCTACCTGTTCAATGCATGAGTTTATATAGTAATACAGTTATTTTTATAATTTTTTTTTTCTGAAATCGATTACCATTTACAATGACAGCCGCATCATCTACGAACGATGGGACAGCCTACTAGTCTCTCTCCATTCATACAACTTGAGTGCTCCCACATAGTGGAGCAAATTGATATATATAATATATATATATA